AAATATTAGAGAAAAAGCCTACTTAGTGCTTAATTAAACCTAGAATTTTCTTTAGGTTTACTTATTCAAAATAATTTCCAAGAATTGATGAAGCACCTATTTTTCCATGGTGGTGATGACCACATCAGCAAAGAAAGTTTGTGCTTTGGTGAAAAGCACTTTACCAATGATGGGAATGCTGCTAAGTAAGCACACTGTATCATTTGGCATTTGTAGCTGTCATATCCACATGACTGCATCTACATGCTTAAGAATCTACTTTCATTATCTCTGACTACTTAGGGGTGAATGAACATTTATATGCTGTAATACACATTTTCCTCTTGCATTATACCCCTTGATATGACAAAATACAGTGAAATCCTTAGTTTATATTCTCAAAGAAGTAATCAGGTGGGCAAAAGTGAGCAAGGGTAAAGATGCATTAGGGGGCAGTGGTGGTTTCCTTCCATGCAGAAGACTGTGGTACAATTCCTGGTACAATTTTTATGCTATGGTACTGTATTAATCTTTTTAAATCAATATAATAGATTATCACAGAAAATTAAAGAGAATGTTATAAAATCGTTATTATTTTTTATATATTAAATGGCACCTTAGGAGCTCTGGTAGCGTAGTGGTTACGAATCGGGCTGCGAACCTAAAGGTCAGCGGTTTGAAACTACCAGCCGTTCCGCGGGAGAAAGATAAGGCTTTCTACTCCCGTAAGGATTTACACCCTCGGAAACCCTGTACAGGGTCGCTATGGGTCGGAACCGACTCGACAGCACTTGACAACAACAACAACAACAAGGTATGACAAGGAGGAGAAACACTTCTCTGAAAAGCACACATATCTAAAATAAAACAAAACCAATGAAATATGAAACGCAGCACTTTGCTTCGCTCCCTATTTGTTGATGCAGTTCTTTATTTTTGGTTACTGCACTACTTGGAGGATTGATTTTTACATTATAAAAAAGCACCAATTCCCTGCTGACATTCTTCCTATCAACTACAATCTTGAGACTACCTATGCCTTACTTTCATCTTCTTTTTTATATTTTACTTTATCTTCCCTGCATGCTACAAGAAATAAAGCTTTTAACATTTCAGAAGGTCAGGTGGCACATACAGGCTCCATCTGCTTCCATAAGCCAATGTAATCACGGGCCTCTTTGTTGCTTCTCCAAAAGCAATGAAAATAATTTCTTTTTTTTTTTTTTTTCTTTCCCTTTTGGAGAATTCTACTTGTGCAGTTGACCAAACATTAAAACTATGCCACATTTAAATCACTAACTTCATCAAATGAATTCTCCCTTAGTGTACTTGGGGTGTTTCTTTGAAGATATATTCAATCATCCACAAATCAGAACTCAAGGTCTCTCTATTTCACCATTTTATTTTTAAGAGAGAAGAAGAAAAAATATTTAAAATTCTCATCCCATCTTGCCATTTCTGATGAAACAGTTATCATATGCATGTTGATAACCATACATTTCTAAAGTAAGCATCTCTTGATTTTTCCAAGATGAAATTTATAAACAGTATTTTCATACATAAAACTTTCCATCTCCTGGCTAGACAGAATGAATAGTTTTCTATCCTCAACCCTTCTGCTTTCCAGGTGTAGCAGGGACAATGGTACCCAAAGCTCAGAGCTGCAGGGCTTGGACTCAGAGATATGCATCATTTGACTCCAGCCTTGAGCGAACATGGGTGGTAAGAAGAGAATGCCTAGCCCAGAGTCTATTCTTTAAACTGCTGTGGAACTCCTAAAAAGCAGGACACAGAAGCATGCAGGAAACAATCAGCATTGAGATGTCCTCATCTACAAGCTGGGTTCACTTCCTGTGTGCCTTTGACATTTGGGTGCATCTCCCCAAGGAGCGAGAATTCAGGTCACTCCATCTAAGAATATATATCTTTTGTTTCATCTCCATTTATGCACTAAGGTACAGATAGCAAGGATATAAAGTTTTAAAACATGTCATAAGTCCTAACTAAACATATGATTTTGGGAGAAGCTAGAAAGTATCAAAGATTGAGAAACAAATGATCAAAAAATGACTGGTGTAAACTATGTTCGTCAGAATATATCCTGGAGCAAAGGCCATTTTATCTGGACCCTGAAGGAGAAATTTATTAAAAGTTAAAAATGGTGAAACAATGTGGTCAGTTTTGTGTTACAGAAAGACAATTCTGGCAATAATTCTGACTATTATCTTTTATTCCCCAATATGATGAAGTTCGTAAGCTAGGCAGGTCCTTTTGTTAAAATTAAACAAATGAAAAATTAAAAGATTCTATTGACCTTTAAAACACAGTTATACAAAATGAAGCTTCACTTAGTATCATTTAGTATATTCAAAAATATACTAATTGTATGACTCATATGATCTAGGCACAGTGTTAGACAATAGAGAATTTCAAAAGTCTCTCCTTTCTGAAACTCCTATCAAGAAAGACATTCATATATCTTATTTATTCCATATGATGTTAAGTGCTGGCGAGCCAGTTCTGACTCGCAATGACAAGAAATGACTTGTGGGTCTGAACCACTGATGTTGTGGTTAACAGCCCAGTGCTTATCCTACAGTGCCACACTAGGATTCACGTGACGTTGTTCTTGTTGTTAAATGCCGCTGAGTCAATTACAACTCATAGAGACCCTGTATAGGGTTTCCAAGGAGTGACTGGTGAGCTTGAACTACCAACCTTGCAGTTCAGGGCCCTGGTGGCATAGTGGTTTAAGCATTGGACAATTCATTCAAGGATGGCAGTTCAAATCTACCAGCTGGTCCTCAGGAGAAAATCAAGGTTGTCTGCTCCCAAAGATTTCCTGTCTTGGGAACCTAAAGGAGTAATTCTACTCTATCAGTTATGGTGGTTTAGGGCTGGTATTGACTCAATGACAGTGAGTGAATGAAGCATTATAAAACAAAATAAGATAAAATGCAGTCAAATCCTTAGTTTATATTCTAAAGGAGGTAATCAGGTAGGCCAAAGGTAAAGATATATTTGGGGGCAGTGGTGGTTTCCTTCCATGCAGGAGACTGTGGTACAACTCCCAGTTAGTACAACTAAAGAAAAGCCACCACCCATCTGTCACTGTAGGTTTGTGGAGTCCTGGTATGACACTGTAGGATAAGCATTCAACCACAAGGTCAGGAGTTCAAATCTACCATTCATTCCTTAGAAACCCTATACAGGGTTGTTATGGGTCAGAACTGACTCAAAGGCACTTAACAACAACAAGGATACTAAATGACGGAGAAAGTTGAGGCTTTCAGCTCTCACAAAGATTTAAAGCCTCGGAAACCCTATACATGGTTGCTATGAGTGGAAACTGATATGACAGCAATTAACAACAATCAAAAATGATACTAAATAGGTTTTAGTGGAACTTCCAGGCTAAAAAGAAAGGGATGGCGATCTACAGAAACTCAGCCAGTGGAAACACCACGGCTCACAATAATTTGATGCCGCTGTGCATGGTGTCTTCATAAGCAAGTGGGTAGCTCAATAGCAGCTAACAGCAGCAAAAGTATATTGGGAACTACAAGTTTACACAAGTTGCTGTTACTGTGAAGTGCTGTTGAGTTAGTTCTGACTCATAGGGACCCTACCCTGTATAGGGGTTCCGAGGAGTGGTTAGTGGGTTTGAATCACCAACTTTGTGGTCAGCAGTCCAGTGCTTCTCCTACGGCATCACACCAGGAATGCTTACACATGTTAGGCACAAAGACATACAAAATGAGATGATGCAAAGGGAGCTTGTTAGGTGCTACTGAGTAGAAGAGGTCAAATCCAACATTCAGAGAACAGACTACAAATGGCAGACAGATGACATTTTAGAGAACTTGGAGAGATGAGTCAGCTTTGAAAGCACAGACCTTCCAAGAGCTAGAGAACGTTCATTAACACATTAAGATTGCCACAGAAGGAAGAGATTAAGTAGAACAGGAAGCAACCCCACTAGATTTAGTAGTCAGAGGTCATAGGAGCCATTTGCTGAAATGGTTTCCATCAATGGACAGGAATGAGCCTAGCTATGGGGAAGATACAATGGGAACCGACCACAAAGCACCAAAGGCATCCGATCTTTGAATGGAACACCAGTATTTTAATATAAACTAAGTATTTCAGAGAACTGTGCAGAATAAAAAGTAAAGGAATAAAAACATCAAGATAGAACAATAAAAAAGCAAAGTATTCGGTAAGTCCATTTTATTCTAACACTGATTGCAACACTTAACAATATACCACAGGGTATTTCAACATTGAATTTTAATTTCTATTTTCAGCTTGCGGGTGACAAGATTAAATTTTTGGCAGTTTGACAGCTATACTTGAAAGGGTCCCAAGACCTTAAGGAGGTATCAACCAGACAGATGGTCAAGGTACAAAGATACTCTGCATCTATTGTTCTTTTTCCTTGAGGTCTTTAAACCTAAAGGTGTCATTAGAATGTTAAGCTTATTGAACCCTTGTCTACTGGGGTAGTCAAGTTGTTTTAAAGGTTCACTTTATCCTCTGTGTCTTTGGGATAAAAGATGACAAAACATTTGATCCACTGAAGATATATGAAAAGTTTTTTTTTTAAAAAAAAGAGATAGCCTATGCTAGGCTTAAGCAAAATTGTTTTGTAAAACAAATATTAGTTTAAATTGGCTTAATGCAGGAATAAGGTAAATAATAGTGATACCATTTAGGGTCCTATTACAAATTACATTGCTCATCCTCATAACTAAGCTTCCTGAGGCAGCAACATAGACACCTAATGTTTTGTACTCGTTTTTTAAAGCCCATAAAACAATCTCATCATTTCTATGAGTAAAATCATAGGAAGGGAACCTCAGATGGTGGTTAACATATTGTAGCACAGGTACTCAGGTAGAAGGGAATTTATAAAAATATGCTAATCTTTAGTAAAACATAAAATGTTAGTAATGATACTTCAGAAAAACAGTATTTTTCACACTCAAAAACTGAAGAACTCTAACATGAAAATCACTTACCTAGTTCTTCATTTTCAATGACTTCAAATGTGGCCCAAATATCACCTTTTTTAGGAATGATATTTTTAATTGCCAACATGTCATTAGTTAATTCTTCTGCTTCCATTACAGGAGAGATCTGTAAGTAAAGCAAAATATCCTTAGAAGTTGTGTCAGACAAGCAAGAAGGCGAGGCTATGGTATTAATATTCCACATACACCACATTGTTGTTGTAGCTGTTGAGTGTGGTAGACTTGGTTCTGACTCATAGTGACCACGTATAGAATTTCCAAGGACAGGCTGGTGAGTTTCAGCTGCCAACCTTGCAGTTCAAAATGACCTTTCGGTCCAGTGCTTACCCTCCAGTGCCACATCAGGATTATAGATTGCTGTTGTTGTTGTTGGTAAGTGCTGTCTAGTTGGTTCTGACTCATAGAGAACCTGTAATGATTTCAGACGAGCAGGTGGTGGCTCACAGCCCTCTGCTCATTCTATAGCACCACAAGGTGCTGTGAAATCAATTCAGAACAAAGCTTTGCCCAGTCCTGTACTATCCTCACAATGTTTGGCATGTTTCAACCTGTTGTCACAGCCTCTGTGTCAATCCATACACCATGTGTGGATACTCAACGTTTCTTCCTACTGTGTTTAACTAGCTACTCTAGGCACAAAGAATCAACAGCATCTTCAGATCTCCTCCATAAAATGTACTACATTTTAATGTAAGGGCAAATAGATATTACAACATAGAATATTTTTCTTTCCCCAAGTGAGTAATTACAACATTTAAGAGGGAAGAATGTACTGAGTCACACATAAAAAGTAAGTCCAGTCCTTTTCTAGCAGTAAACCTTTTCACTTGTCAATTTTAAAATCAAAAGTGCAAAGTGCTTGGTGGTTTCGGTCTGGGCCCTAAATGATACAGTCAATTGCACCATGCCAAAATGCCCCAGGGTTGTAGGGATTTGAGATGTGTGTGTCACGTCAAGTGGCAGATGGTAGGGTACAGAAGCTGGAACCAGAACTTCAGGTCATCAGGCAGAGCCTGCACTGCCAATCTGGGGACAGCTCTACAAGAGTCCCCAAACCTCAGGCAATTATGTAAGCATGTCACCTTTTTCAGAGATTTTAGGATTTCTGATTCATGTTTGCAACTTCAACTTGGCAAATCTCAGTAAAAGTACATTTCTATTTTAAAAATTTACTAAAAAAGATTATGCTCATTTACATTTCTCTTGCTCATTATTGCTCATAAAGACACTACACACATAAAAATCACAATCTGTTTTCATTACAGGTAACTCATATAGTTTATCTTCTGTGCTTTATGGAATTTGGAGCTTTCTTTATAATATATCAATTATGCCTTACAGTGCAATGAATTTGATTTAGAAAAGCCCAGTGAAATATAAACTTAAAGCAAACAAACAAATAGCATGGGTTCTTGAAGAAATGGGTAACTTGAAGCAGTAAGAAACATTAAATGGCTCATTTAAATTATGCTATTAATTCATCTGCATGCATTTCAAAATTACAAGTAGTGTGGCTCTTTGCTAAAATAATAAATTATTAAAAAACTGAATTTGCAAAATAGGTAAATAGGGAATATCTCTAAATGAAGTGGGAATGCAAGGTAAAGATTCTATTCTTAGTCCCAGGAAGACCTAAGACCCTTCTCAGAACACTCAGAGTACATTTTAGAAATCATTACTCTATGGAAAACACTAATCAGTATAATGAACATCAGATTTGAACATGACAGCCCAAATCTGAGTACTAGTCATAGTGGCTACTTCCTTTAGTTTCCATGTCTACAAATTTGGGACATCATTTGCTCCAAATACCTCTGTGGAATGAAGGAATTATAATCCTTCCCACTACTGTTGAGTTGATTCTGACTTACAGAGCCCCGGATGACAAAACAGAATGATTCCTTGAGGTTTCTGACACTGTAAATCTCTATAGAAGCTAACTGCTACAGCTTTCTCCCATGGAGTACCGATTGGGTTTGAACTACCAATCTTTTGTTTAGCACCTCAGTGCTTAACCCACCTTGCAAAGTCTTAAGAAATTAATGAGTGCCAATACTTATTTCAGGATAGATTTTGTTACGGTTAGTTTATGTATTAGGAGCTGCTGCATGAAATGAAACAGCCCTTTTATCAGAATATACATAAATTTAGGACAAGGGCATTTTGGTCAGTTATAACTTGTTATGGCTTGACATGGAAGATAAAGTTAAAATGTGTTAGTAAAATATTTATTTGGAGGCAGACTTAAGTCATATACTCTGATCATGTTTGGTAGAGAGCCAGCCAAAAGGAAAGGAGCCCTTAATAAGATGGAATGGCACAGTATCTACAACAATGGACTCAAGCACCCCAAAGATCATGACGATGGCATGGGATTGGTCAAGAGTTCATTGTTATATACAAGGTGCAATGAGTGGAAGCTAACTGGAAGGCAACTAACAACAAAACATAGTAACACTGTTACTACTGATAAAGGGATACTGATAATGCTTCTTGAATACAATACAGAATATTCTTAAGTGACTTAAACAGAAAACAGAAAGTTCTAACTCTAAAGGAAATTGCTGGCAAATATGACTAAAGTAAAATTAACAACTATTCATTAAAAATCACTAGTAAGAGATAACGGAGTCCTGGTGTGACACTGTGTGTTAATGCACTAGACTGCAAAGTTGGTTTGAACAAGAAGGGCACTACAAGTTCAACAGCCTCTCCTTGGAAACCCTATACAGGGTCGGTATGGGTCAGAACCAACTTGATGGCACTTAATAACAACAACACAGTAAAGGATAAAAATTAAAAAGCAATATGGAAAAGGGAGACAATATAGCCAATAAATAGTTAATACTCCAGAATACTGAAAGTACCACAGACTGCCAGAAGAACAAATAAAACCTCTTCTAGTATTAGTGATGAATTTATGCTGATTAATGTGGAAAAGTTCCTTATTCCCATTATTATCCATATTGAACATATAGTATGGCTAAGCCCTAGTACTTCATCTTTCATACTTTGGACATATTACCAGGAAGGGCCAGTCCCTGGAGAAGGATATCATGCTTGGTATTGTGGAAGGTCCGTGATGAAGAGGAAGACCTCCAATGGACAGATTGAAACAATGGCAGCAATGATGGGTTCAAATCTAACAGCAACTGTGAGGATGGCATAGGACCAGACTGTGTTTCTTTCTATTATCCATAATAACAACAAGTCTTGGTGATGCTGTGGGTTAGGCATTGAGCTGGAACCACAATATGGGCAGTTCAAGCCTACCAGTTGCTCAGTGAAAGAAAGATGAGGCAGTGTGCTCCCATAAAGAACGACAATCTCTGAAACTCCATATAGGGTTGCTAGGAGATGGGGCTGCTGTAACAGCGTGGGTTTGCTTTTTGATTTTTAGTATGGCTAAGGAGCGGAGAAGCAAAGCCCTGGTGGGGCAGTAGCTAAGTGCTTGACTGCAAACAAAACAGTAGGTGGTTTGAACCTATCGGTCACTCCAGTTGCTCCGGGTGAGAAAGATGGCAGAGTCTGCTTCTGTAAAGATTGTCACTGTTGTAGTGAAGTGTTTTGGAGTTGGTTCCAACTCATAGCGATCTTGTATAGTGTTTCTGAGAAGCAGCTGGTAGGTTTGAATGGCTGACATTGTGGTTAGCCATCCAGCACTTACCTACAGCGTCCCACCAGGAGTCCAGCCTTGGGAATTCTGAGACAGTTCTATTCTGTCCTGTAGAGCCCCCGTGAATCAGAATTAATTCAGTGGCAACAGGTTTAGCTTTTTTTGTAGGAACAACTGCCCCTTGAGGACAAAGCATATGATTTAAGGATTTAAGTTCTATGTTTTAAGTCAGGTAAGAAGTACCCAATTGTCACGGCTGTTGTTGTTGTTAAGTGTCATTGAATTCGTTTTGACTCACAATGACTCGGTCTAGGGTTTCTAAGGAGTGAGTCTGAACCACAGTCATTGTTCTTCAGTGATGTTGAATCATTTTTGACTCATAGCAACCATGTATAGGTTTTCGGAGGAGCATCGGGTCAGTTTGAACTGCCGACCTTGTGGTTTGTAGTCCACTGCAAAGAGTAGGTTTGAACCATGGTCATGTTGTTATGTGCCATCGAGTCGGTTCCGACCCATAGTGACCCTGTACAGGGTTTCCGAGGGTGTAAATCTTTACGGGAGTAGAACGCCTCATCTTTCTCCCGCGGAGCAGCTGGTAGTTTCGAACCGCTGACCTTAAGGTTCGCAGCCCGATTCGTAACCACTACACTACCAGAGCCAT